TTAAATTTTTCGGACAATAGAACGTTTTTTTATTTTTTTACTCAGGATCATTTGTTTAAATTTAAAAAATAAGTTTTATTGGGCAAAAAACCATTGGCGTACATTTTTTTTTAAAAATCGAAGTCAATACCCGTACGCACGCTGTTAAAGCTATAAATTATTTTTGCATTGAAACATATGCAACTTTTGTTAACTCTCACTGCGTACTAAATATCTGTCGATATCTGAAGCGGTTCTGAAAATAATTAATTTCCAAGTTTTCCTAAAACTTCAACACCCGGAGTTTTTGTAAGGAAACATTTTTGAACCATAGTTTATGGAGCAAACTAACATTAATTTTTCAGATAGATTCATGCCCTTAAATATTCTCATATCATTAACGAACACCCTGTATAGTTCCTTCAAAGCTTTAGAACTGGTTAACAATATGTAATTTCTCATTGAACCTGAGACGTGTGTCAAAGCATAGATCAAGTTACTTGATTAGACCTCTTCTTTCTAAAAATCTAAACGCAGGACATTCCTTGTTCCAAAAAAGTAGGGATTCGCAAGATCCAGACCAACCCTGCATTTATTTTGCAATACCTAGGCCAAGACTGGATCCGAAAGATCAAGACTAATACTAGCTCAGTCCTGGTCTTGGTCTTGAAAAATTGTTGAAGACCCCATACAAGAAAGTGGTTGGTCCGTTGATTTTACCACAATGTAACACTTGAAAATGAAAAAACACAAATACCCTAAAAAAATCTACCCGCACGCTGATGCAAAGCTAACTGGTGCCCGCGAAGAAAACTCAAAATGAATAATGCATCATTTAGAGGGAGGAAAGCCGAAAGAAAGAGAGAGACGGAAGATGGCAGAGCAGACGATGAGAGTTCAGTGTTTCCCGAGATGTTGAGCTTCTAAAACTTTTCTTATAATTTATTTTTACGCCCTATTTAAAACAGGTTCAAGGTTAATTCGCGCCGTCAGCTGCTGCTTTTCGTTAGCGGCGAATTATGATCTTAAGATGTCGTTGAACTTTTCGAGATTCACAACAGCGGAAATTTTGGAGGGGGAATCTGGGTGGCATTGACAATGGTATGCTTAATAAGAATTTTATTTATTCAAGCGGAAGAGATGCATGTGATGCTTAGAGAGCAGATTACTTGATTAAGCATCTGAGTTGCTCTAGGGCAGAGTTCCCTAAACTTTTTTGTGCCGTAGACCCCATATTTTTCCGTGTCGGGTAGAACCCCCACTTACCTGATATTGATTTCCTGTAAATTTCTAACTGTAGTGAAGTTTAGTGTTAAAAACTTAAAGTAAAAACACATGTTAATTTATACATTTATCAATTGAATTTAAATTAAAACTACTCAAAATAAAATTTTGTGTCTGTGATGTAAAATATACGTAACATTAAATAAACAGGTGTCTGACCAATAAGTGTCCGCAATGGGAATAAGTGCCCGCATTGATAAAAAATAAGAGGGATAAAATAAAAAAAAGTGAAAAACAATAAAAAAAAGTTTTTTACTTAAAATAGTACAATAAGCGAGTTCGTTTTTATAACACAAACGTACGTTCTACAATAATTTCACTGTTAGTTTAACTAAATTCCGCTTCTTATACGTTTAAGTTATCTAAAAATAGGCAAAAAATTAACGAATTTTAGTGTGTACCTATCCTTGAACTTTCAGAATAATTTAAAGAAAAATATTTTCTATAAAGGGGGGTTCTTTAAAAAAATCAATGCGGGCACTTATTCCCAATGCGGGTATTTATTGGTCAGACACCAATAAACTTAAAATAAACTATAAATAAAATAACATAAGCAATACGCCAATATTTTTAGTGAGAAGGATGAACCTGATGCTTTAAAAATAAATTATCAACATTTGGCGTCAATTTTGTATGGGTTAATCTTAAATCTCCTCGGGTAATGATATCTAGTCTGTTTGTTTTTTTCGTTAGGAGATTGGTAACAGCGCTGAACCTCCTTTCCACTAGGTATGACGATGGAAAGGAAATTAAAAATTTTCTCGCTATATTCCATAATACGGGATAAGTAACGGGTATGTTGTTTTGCAGCCAGAATTGCTGATATCCATTTTTAAACTGAACCTTAAGTTCTTCGTTTGTACTTAGTTCAGTCAGTTCCTCTTGTATTATGATATTCGTTTCTTCTATGTCACCATATGGATTAATTATCCACGGTGGTATTACCATAGTCAAAATATCCTCAAACCTAGATTTAAAATCTAAATAGAGGGCATTTAAATGTTGAACGCAAGTCGAACATCGTCTTCCTGGCAGCTTGTCTGTGACAAATATCTGGAACTGAGAAAATTCGCCCCGTCCAGTATTTTGCTTCATTAGTTTAACTCTGGCAAGAAACGCTGATAAGATGGACTGTTTTAATGAAATTTAAACTGTTGCCTTGTAATTGCAAATTAACCATATTAAATTTTGTAAACAAATCTGTTAATTAGGCGATGTCTGTTTTCCTCTTCATTAAATTTTCTTTTAAAATTTTATGTTTAGTATCCAGAAATTCTAAAATAGTCTCAAAAAGTGTAAAAAATCTTGTCAAACATAAGCCTTTCGACAGCCAGCGTACTTCAGCGTGAAGGAGTAATTGATGAAAGTGTTCGTCATTTTCTTCACACAACTGCGCAAATAACCGCGTATTCAACACGTTGCTTCGGATTCGGTTTACTGCATCAATGACTAAATGAAGTGATTCATGCAGTCTAGCACTCAAATTTTTAGCAACTAAATATTATCGATGGATGACGCTTTTTGTTTTAAATAGCTTATAAATCCACGATAACGTCCAACCATGGCAGGTGCTCCATCTTTAGCTACTGATATTATATTTATTTGATGCAGGTTTGTGCAAAACAGTTTTTAAAACCTCTTCAACGGCTGCAAAATTAACATCTCTCCGATAGTATGCGTTTTCCGGATTTTGCTATAAGTAACGAGATATTGTAAGACACCCGCAAACCATCATCATTTCTTTGTGACGTCGAAGCGAACATTCTGTCCAGTGTAGGTCTCTTCTGAAATTTATCTTTGAGTGTTTGAAAGTATTTCAAATCTTTCTCTGTTTATCAGGGTGGCATCTTCTCAGATGATCTTGCAGTTTAGATGGTTTCATAGCGTCATTGCCCAAAACTTTGTTGCATAAAAGGCACATAGGCGATTGTTTGTCCGGCAATGATGGAATGAAGCCAAATTTTCAAATAATCAACACTGTACTGTCTACATTTCTTTTAGATTCGAACATGGCATCAGTCATCTGTGGCAAAATTAAATTATTTAAATAAGACAGAAAATCCAGCAGCTGTATATTAAAAATATTTTTGATTTTCCGAAAACATTCCATAATTCGAACATCTTCTTGCAACAAATTAGCTCGAATTACGGAGATTGCACTGTAATTATATTACCGATTGCTAAAACTTTCAAAAAGAAAAACTATTGAGGAGTACTCGTGTAATTTTGCATGATTGAATATTTAACTACTAATAACTAGTCATGATTGGCGTAATTTATCTATCTTTGCTAACTACGAGTACAAAACTAAAATTTAATAAAAAATAATGAACTTACTTTTCTCCAGCACTCTCAAACAAATAACACTGACTCACTATAATTTGAGTGATATACTATCTGTTTATATTTTTTAAAATATTTTCTTAGCACTTTCCTTTCAAGATTCAAGAAACGAATAAACGTATTTGTCCCACATTCGTATTTATAGAGTGACGAATTGAACAAGTGAGTGCAAGGTAGGGAAGCTCTGAGAGTGCGACTCAGGTTTTTACAAGTTTAAAATGTATTGCGACCACAAAGCGAATATCAACATCCTACAACTTACACAATTTTATAAACCTATATAATAAATTTTTTACTTCATAGGTACTTTTATAAATAATGTATATGTTTTGATATTATAAGATAGTATGATGTAAGTAAATAGGTACTATCAGTGTATGTGTTGAGATCCACTATCGTGGACCCCCATATTCATTTCATGGACACATTTTTTTTCGCTGACGTAAGACCCCTTGCAGGTTGTCATAGACCCCTAGGGGTCGATATAGGACCACTTTGGGAATCAATGCTCTAGGGTCACCTCAGTGCAATTTATGGTGTAAGCGCACCTCTTTATTCACCTGTAGCGCATTCACCAAATTTTGAGTATTGAGAATAGTCCAGCCCGAGTAGTTCAAGGTGGCACTGCATTGACTTTGGGTTGACCTGCATTAATGGTTTACAAAAAAATTTAATTATTCAATAGACTAATATCCTGTTGTTGGCTTTATGTATTTCTCTCCTAGTCAGCAGATGTTTCCAAGTCGATTTTTGGTTACGCTCGCTTTGGACCTGAACAATGCACTACCCCGTCTGCATAAGTAGGAGTTAGCAATTTCAAATAAATAACAACAACAAGAAGTTAAATCAATATTTAATCAAATGCTTTATTATAGAAAAATGTGTTTATATAGGTAGATAGTGTTATGAAGAAAGATAGGCATCATTGTTCTTGAACATTGCGATAGATCAGCTTGGATGATCCTACAAGGTTGTCAATCCTGGGCTGAACTGAGAAAAGTGCATCACGTAGATCACTATCAATATGGAGCTTGCTTCTGTATCTTGTTTTAATGGATTTTTACTGCTAAAATCGTTTAGTGCTTCTGTAATATACTAAGTGACATATAAATCCGAACACCCAGTTTAAATTGTTTTATTTTAATAAAATTTTGTATAAGTACTTAATAAAGCATAATAAGTAAATGATTAAAATTTCAAAATGATTGCACTGCTTTAAAGCCCTTTGACCTTTAATAATGTGTGGATGCACCCTGATGTGCTACACATTCTCAACGCGCCTAGGCATGCTTCTGATCAGGTGGTCAATGTCCTCCTGTGGTATCTCATTCCAGGCAACCACCAACTCCTCTCGAAGTGCTTCTAGAGTCTGAGGAGGACGTTGCAAATTGAGCAATCTCCTACCCATCATATCCCACACGTGCTCAATTGGGGATAAGTCGGGAGATCTTGGTGGCCATGTGACATCATTATGTTGAAAGAAGTCTATTGTGACTCTTGCAACATGTGGTAGGGCATTATCTTGTTGGAAAGTTGGATCTGCCAGGGTGTCAAGATAGGGTAAGAGATGGGGTTCTAGAACTTCGGGATATAACGCTGCGCGTTCATGTTACCACCTCTGATGAAGATTAAAGGTGACCTGGAACCATAAGCTATAGCACCCCAAACCATAACTCCAGCAGTGTGATGAACATGTCTTTCAACAAAAAACTATGGATTCCTCCTTTCACCACGTCGGCTTCTAACCCTGGCACGACCATCGTGCATGCCTAAACAAAATCGAGACTCGTCACTAAGACAATACTGTTCCATTCCTGATCCCAGAGTGACCGTTGTCCCTGCACCACTCAAGGCGATTACGTCGGTGTTCTCGAGTTAAAGGGAGGACCCAGTATGGCCGGTATGAAAACAAGCCAAAACTTCTCATTCGTCGGTAAACACTTCGCATGCCAATAGGTCTTCCGTGGTCTGCAAACCATTCATTTGCAATGGACCTGGTAGTGGAGAAAACGGTCCCTTAAGGCCAATAATCTTAGGCGGGCGATCTTCACGGTCTGTTGTTCTACGGCGGCGTCCAGTGCCCCTTGCTCTTTGCGTACGGCCTTCTCGAAGCCATGCCTGACAACACCTAACCACAGTGTCTACACTTCTTTGCACTCTAACTGCAATTGCCCGAAAAGAAAGTCCAGCTTCCCGAAGTCCCACTATACGGCCCCTATCAAACTCCCTAAGTTGACGAAATCGTACAGGTCTCCGTACTCTAGGCATCGTAACCGATCGTAAAGGATGTCAAGAACCAAATCCGCCAACGTTGATTCTTTACTGCGGCTGAAATATTCATTTTTAGAGCGTTAGTGAATTAAAAAAAAGCAGTATAAAAACCGGAATGTCCAACTGATCAGGCTGAACGTTTTTCCACTTGTTATTTACAGTAAGATGAATACATTCACCAACTTTTATTAAAATAAAACATTTAAACTGGGTGTTCGGATTTATATGTCACTTTGTATATTAACGGCGGACAACTATTCTTTGTGGAGTTTCTGTCGCAATTATTTGATCAAAGAAAATCATTTACTATTGCACTGCAACGTCACCCTACACCCTTTTCGTGATTTTGACTGATAATAGTCCAAAAATTGTATTGCTTCAAATTTGGATGCGCATGAGAAACAAAATATCATCCTTAGCCCGTACTCTGCCTCTTTCCGTTATGAATGAACGTTCCTTCAAAGAAAACTTTCTTCCTCTGAAGCGTCAGCTACGAAATGTAAATAAATAGTAAATTATATCTGGCTGAGTCTACGAACTGCGTCTCGAGTGTGCCTCGTCCTATATTTTTCAGCAACGGCGATGTCGGGCGTTAATGAAATCTCTTCTCCTGCCTCTCCTTCTTTCCAACTAAGTCAAGGCGAAGGCTGCAATTAAAAATCGATCCAGGCTTTTTACTCATCGCGATCTTCGCGTCTTCTTTAAGCCGTTCTTTGGCCTTTGAATTACAGCGTTTCGATTAGGTATACAATGTACAATCATCCACTGTAACTATCTGGTCTATTGATGCTGAGATACCTTTACGCGTTTCTTCCAGTAACCGCATTTTAGAGAAAATTGATTGACAATCAAATAAGGTTTGACAATTACAGGACAGCCCAAAAAATTATAAAAATATACCAAATAAATCCGTCTGGCTTGCTCACCATTACCGTCGGCAAGGGCATATACGTAATGCATTTCTGCCATTCCTGCACTTGAATAATTCACCATTATTAACAAGATTGTCAAAAAAATAATGAGAAATGTCACAGTGAACAGATTTGAATAACAGAGACTTGTCAGATGTCAAAAGCCAGTGACATATTTCAGAGTAAATAGATATTTATTGCTAAATTGCGTTCTTCAATTATTACATTTATTTTTTGGACTATAGAACGGTTTGTATTTTTTGCTCAAAAATGGCGCATCAAAGAAAACAATTCAAGAGAGACCATTTGTTTTAAATTGAACGAAAAATTCAAAAATATTTTTATTTGGCAAAAAACCATTGGCGTACCATTTTTTTCTTAAAAAATATCTAAGTCAATATCCGTACGCACGCCACTGTTAACGGTAAAAAATTATTTTTGCATTGAAAAATATGCAACATTATTAACTTTCACTACGTACTAAATCACTGAAATATCTGAAGCAGTTCTGAAAATAATACTTAATTTCCATTTTTTCCTAAAAAATTTTGTGAAGAAACATTTTGGACCCCTAGTTTATAAAGGAAACTGCCATTAATTGTTCATGTAGATTCACGCCCTTAAATGTCACTGATCAACAGCCAAAAAATATCCTAAATAGAATCAACAAAATATTACTATTTTTTATGTGCTAAACCGGAATGAAACTTATTTTTTCAATAGTTGTTCAAGTTTTAGAGATACGGTAATTATATGTGTTCCTGCTGTGACAGTGTTATAATACTGTAATTCACAAGAATGCACGTGTTACATTTTTATATTCGGCAAGGAAAGATGATGTAATCGGCATGATTGTGTGATGTTATATATACGTGTACATTATATGTTTTTATATTAGCCATTTTTTCCTCAGTTGGCTGACAGCGTTCATGCAAGATGTCTCGAAAGTGTGT